TACCCCAGTTTACCCCGACATTTTTCACACGAATATGTACTTACATTTCCGTGTTCTCGACCTGACGGCAGGAAAGAATATTCCGTGATTATAATAACACCGTTTGCACAAAAGGGAGCGTGATACCTGAAACATATTATTTTTACATATTTTATTTATTCGCAGTGAATATTGTTGTATACCGAATTATTCACTATCGTACTTGACCCAATCTCCAACACTCCAAGTCCTTCCGACCTCGTGATCTCATCCCTTAACACTGGACCCACGATAATTCCTACCTTCCCATTTTCCGATTCTATAAAATACCAAACACCTTTCCCTCCGAGCTGAGATTTTTCCGAACCTTCTAAGGGTCTACGTTTGTCACGACGAATATTGTTTTATAAACTTCCCTTGTATTTCCCGTTGCAATTAAAGTAAATAAATATTGCGAGTGGAATACAATATTTTAAAGATTATTCCACACGATACACGTCCGCGTTCATTCTATCAATCAGCCTGTTAATGAGCTAAACGAAACGAATTCGGTGAAAAAGGCTGAAATTACAGAGTCACGCAGGATTATTAATCACCATGACAAACTGAACCGTTTATCTGGTATCGTATATATCCTCGTTGCAGCGTGAACGCGTAAATTCAATATTTGCCATGGATGAAATACCCTTTACTTCCGGTAGCGGGTACGGTGTCGGGTCGCAGCGTCTGCACTCGAGACAGAGTGGCAGATCGGAGGAAGCTAACGTAGACATGGAGCCTCGTTTAGTTTACCTCTTGCCTGGCTTTGTAAACGCTGCTAGCACGTGTGTACACATATCATCGAATGTGACTCGAAATCGAAGCAGCCCGTGGACGTGACGCAGTGATGTAACGAAGCCCGGAATATTTCGGGCACCTGCCGTTTCCTCTGTTTTATTTATTTATCGTTAAGCTTCGTCCAAAAAGATTACACACGTCGCTTATACTTCCTCCTATACATCCCGGGGATCAATTTTCTTTTGAATACATACAATTTATGTGCAGTCGCTCGGATAAAAATTTGAAAAAAAAAAAGGGGAAAAATACAGGAGCACTTTTGAAATACATTTATTTTCATTTAAATAGAGTATGCAGTGATGGATATACAATTTTGTATAATTGCCTTAGCAATATTCAGGTTTCGATTATTAGTTTTAAAAATATTCTAAAAAATATTACATCTCGAAAGCAGGAATATTGAATACAACGGTGATTGTTTAATAATTTCCACGCAAACTGCGGCCGGTACGCGCACCCCGAGCAAATATTAATATTTCTCCCCCGTCTGTTGGACGCCCGGCCCAATTTAAATCACGATTGATCGTTCTCCGGGCCCGGTAAGTGGCATTACATCACCGTAATTGACAATCATTACGGCGCACCGACACCGCTGACGTGCCGCAAAGCAAACGCGAAGCGGTTTGCGTCTGATCTGCGTAATATATGGCGAGCAATAACTTCCAATTAACCCCCGACGACGCAACATCGATAAGACAGCCTTTATTTTCCCTGTATCCACGAGAGTTCCATTAGCCTGCCATTTCCAGCAATGCCACGCCATACGGTATGAACGGTGAAACCGTTTCAACCGACGGCATTGATAGCGAACGCTCGCATATATGTATGTCCAGTCGGCCACGTTTGAAAAAGAAGAGAAAAAGGAAATAAAACCACGGGGTTGGAGGTGGAGGGTTGCGCTCGGTTGCGTCAACCAGAGCCAGCGGAGAGTTCGCTTTCTCGATCCCATCAACGGGTTAAATGCTCGTCCCATTTTCCCCTCTGTCCTGTTTCGGGATAACGGGGAAAAAATTTCATCTTCATGGTATCTAATAAAAGAAGTTTGATCGGAAAGGGTAGGGCACGCGAAACTCCTGAGCTTGTCGTTTCTTCGCGGCAGACGACGGTCATCTTGACTTTACGGCACATAAAAGGTAGCACGATAATCACGCTCGTCTCGTTTCGCGTATTACAAGTTTCGCCACGCCGGTGCTTCGAAGTTAACGCGTGACCCAGAATCGTGGAACCTTTTATTCGCGATGACAGCGCGAACAAGGCGTTTCGACACCTTGCTATTCTTCGTTTCAACGAGCTTGTACGTCATTTGAATATTTCATCATTTCCTCGAGCATGGTTTTCAACTAATTGTACTCCCGATAAATCAGCGGTTAATCGCGATGCTGATTATAGTTGAACGAGTACGCTTCGATCGGGAGTATAATTAGGTACTCGTGTTATGACGAACAAAATTGGTTAGAGAACGGATTACCGCGAGAGGCTATCTCCGCACCAACGTCAATTTCGCGATAATTAACGCAACGGCTCGAGCCAGCAGTCATAATTTCCCAGTGATCGATATTTCGAAATCACTTTAGCCGCTCTTAGATTAGTAATTCTTTTTTTTTTTTCAACGGAACGTATCGAGGTCGGTAATCGCGCGATTTGACCAAGTTACTAGCCCATCACGATTCCAATTTCAACGAGCCGGATCGTATCGTGCGGGCATGTGTGTATCGGATAGACATCGGTCCTGCGAAACGAAGTTTCCCGTAATTCCGGTGAAATTTTCGTCCGCGATGCCCGGCACAGCGGGAAATTCGAAGTTGCTGATGCCGATGGGGATTTCAGAAGGTTTCCGTCGTTGGTAACGGTGTAAGATACTTTTACACCGTCTAACGGTACATCCTGGCCTCCAGGAGCAGCTAGCGAGCAGGGAAAATCCAATTGGCGAATTCCTCGGCGTCACTGGACCGCGAAATGGGGTGGCAGGCATGGCCGCAACTGCTTCCATCCCCCGGGGTAGTGATCGTGACGGTAGTGGGGCTCGTCGTAGCAGTGATGTTAGTGGTGGTGGTGTTACGAGATCCGAGAAGGGCTTATAAATTGCATACGATAGCGTTTACCCCACTCATCCCTCTCGCCATGCTGCTCCGACACCCACGTGTCCAACGAAGATTGCGCTTCAACCTTTGCAATTGATTTATTTAAGGTCGTAGCTCGTTCTTATGGAGAAGGAGGTGACGATTTGAAAGAAAATGAATTTCTTTTAAGTTCTAATAAAATTCCAGATGGTATCTCTTACTATTTTATACTTTAAGGTATTTTGAAATAATTGGAGTTGGATATATTTTTTTTAAATTATAAACTTTATTTTATTTTACACTAGAGGAATTAATATTTTCTATATTGCAACAAGGCTATCTACGTTTTCTAATTTCTAATAAAATTCCACCTGTTATCTCGAATTTTTTAATATTTTAATGGAAGGTATTTTGAAATAATTAGAGTTGGATATACTTTTACAATCAAAGAATTAATATTTTCTATATTGCAACAAGAGATATCAAAGTTTTCTAATTTCTAATAAAATTCCACCTGTTATCTCTAACTTTCTTATAGTTCAAGGTATTTTGAAATAATTAGAGTTGGATGCTTTTTAAAAATACTAAACTTTATTTTATTTTACACTCAAGGAATTAACATTTTCTACATTGCAACAATGGGTATCAACGTTAAGGTTTTTTAGAACAAAGAAATTTTTCCCTTATTCCTCGCTCAAAGAGGTCGTCCTCGTCCCCTGTTAATCCAGTCCGTTTCTTATCTTGGAACGACGAGACGGCGGTGGTCCCGGCGGAAATATCAAGTGGCAGCAAGATGGCGAGGAAGAAACAGCCACTCCACAGATCGCGGTGGAGAGGCCGTGTTAGGTCCATCTGGTGCGGGCTTGAGTGTAACCTGCCGGCCAGATTGGGGTTTCTTGGCCCCTTACCAAAGAGTGGCAGTGGCGGTGATGGTAGCGTAACAGTTTGCCCGTGTTGAAGATGGTGTAGGATGCGGTCTGGGCTAGAAGATGACGGAGAGCCAGAACAGGGATCCGTGGGGTCTTAGGTGGAAAGCAGAGACGAGGGTGGAGGAGACCGGTAGCACATGGTCTCCTCTCTACATGCATGCCGGTGTCGCCTGGCCCTTGCGGCGGTTCAATCCGCGTATTTACCTACATTGAATCTTTGCCAACCTACAATTACCGGTTACCCATTCTTCCTGCCGAACTCGTGGCTGCCTGCTTGTTCGCCTGCCTCCCCGACGAATCTCAATGCCAAATTCACGAGGATCGCGTGATGCCTAGCTTCATCTGCATAATGTGCTCGCGAGGGATATGTATACGTGCTGTCGAGACGATAAGCCAATCCTGTTATTTTCCTATCATCCGGTGAAAATCGAAGCGCTGCGAATTGCGCGATCTTTTTCCAACCGTTCGCTAACTCGTCCTTGCTTCGTAACTTAGGTATAGTCGTGCGCAGAAATATAGCCTGGTGATAAATCTGGTCTGTCGGTAAATGACAAGTGTTTCATTCGAGACAGAGTGATTCAAAGAACGAGATTCTTTAAAATATTCTAAATATTAAATAGAATTTCGAGGGGAACCTACATTTTCGAGACATTAGAACAAAGAGACGAATAATTCAAAGATGATTATAGCATCAGGAATCATATTTTTTCCCGCAATTGCAATTGTGCATGCGATGCATTTTCTTCGAGTAGCAGTAAAATCAATCGCAATTCAAAGTTCGAACCATCGAGTAGGAAACGCGTTTCGAAACTTTTCGCGTACGATTGCACATCCAAACTTTCTTCCTGCGTATATCGAATTAGCTCCCTATCGCGAGCTTCTCGAGAGGAAGGGAAAACAGAATCTTTTCCAGCATAGTCGGAATAAGCACGTAGATGACGAGAGTCGAGGTTGAAGCAAGCAAAAGCGTCGGTGAACACGTCGCACAGTAGGTATCTTTAGTGAAGAATACTTGGAGACACAAATCAGATTTTCAGATTTTATTTCTTATTTCTTGTTTTACAGAATTATGTTATTTTATTACAAATATTACATTATTCACAAATGTCATTATCAAAATATAATTTGAATTTTCAATAAATTTATATAATTACAATCTTGTATAATTAAGCATTAGAATTTAATTTTTAACACTTAAGATACACAAGGTGTTATTTTTCTATTTTAATTTTGTTTGATCCTAGATAATTCACTGTGATTCGTCGACACATCTGCACGAGTAGGGACAGGAAATTTCGGTGCCTCATTTTGGCTTTATCGATGGCCTGCTTGTTCGTTTTGCGGTCTGTACAGGCTCACTTAACAACTCATAAAGTCGTTGACGGTCGTCCACGTGCAATTCGGCTGCAACCTCGTAACGGCATTATACCTTGTTGACCTCGGTCAACCTAACACGGGGAGTCGGTGTTAGTGGCCGTGGCTGCGGCGGCATCGTCGCCTGGAAATTGAAACAAATATTTTACGAGGGTTCCGGAGTTACGACGATAATAATTAAAAGGTGGTTCTTGCTCGGCGTCCGAGCGTCGCGCATAGGATATAAAGCCAGCGGCTCAGATATTGCCGTCAGCCTGCTCCGAGATGTTCGAGATCTTTGATCTACGGAACCGCCCGGTCTTCCGCTGGTTTTAATTACGAGCCCGGAACTACGAAGAACTTTCGATTAAACGCGTAAGAACCGAAGCCCCGATGAACGTTTTAGGAACTATTATTAGAGGCTGAGGTAACCAGGCGCAACGGACTTTACGATAAAGGAATCAGTTTTACGCTTCGTTCACACTACGGTATGCATTATTTAAATATTCCAAATTAATTATTGAAAAACACGCACCATTTTAACGAGTAATTATAGATAGTGCTGTTATTATCTATGTAGAAAAAAATTACTACTCTAGTGGCAAATCCTTAGACAGCATTGATCCGTGTTTTTCATAGAATTTGAAGAAATATAAAGCTTCAAATTTTTGTTACAAGAGTCGACTCGATTCCTATAACGATGTGAATGATCACGTTTCTTTCAGAATGTCTTTAACCCTGCTACGCGATTTTAAAAGGTGCCTCGAACGATCTCACGGACTTATCCGCCACGTATCGCGCTGCTTCCAGTTATCGGGGATCATTTTCAGCCCCAAGGGGTTCGAGCGAGCCGGCTTAAAGCGAAACGAATCGCCTTCGATACAGCCCATACGTGCACGAAAAGTGGAATTCTTTTTGTTCCACTCCTCACGATACGGTGATACGATCATGTCAATCACTGTAGATGTAAAAGACTGGACATCCCTTTGTTTTCAAAGGGTCATGATTTAGGAGATCGCAGACATCCCCAGATGAGGTTAGGTCTTCATGCAGAGTGATAATCGTACCTGTTTCACCAGTCCCTGGCATCTGAAAAAACCCAATTTTCACTCCCTTTGATTCTATTCTTATATTTTTGTTATCATTATTATAATTGTTTGACAAACTTGTATTCACTTCATGCACTTTGATAAATAAATTATTTTAAGAAAGCAACTGAGGTTATTTAATTTAATTTATCCAATTTCGTTTCTAAGTTATTTATTTAATGCCTGTAATTTCTTTTCTCAGTTATTTATTTAATTGACTCTTCTATCATTTTAGTTATTCAATGCACTTAACTTCTTTTCTCAGTTATTTCTATATATAACATTCAATAACTGTTTGATCTTTAATAAATTAAAAATATAATATGCATAACAAAACCCAAACTTAAATCAAAACACAATAATTACTTCTCAATATGAAAAGTTTGACCTATGGAAGGAGCCTCAGTCTTATAGCGACCGCCGAGGGATGCGGATTAATCTATCAAACATATTATACATATACTTCTAATTTATTTTCAGAGTTTAACCAATTTATTTTATTTTTATTTTATCCCTTATTGAATAAGCTCATCAAAGGGGAATAAAACTTATGATTTTATCCCTATTCTGGGCCTCGACTGACCACCCTTTTTATTTAATATTTTATTCTCCCTTATGAGTCCTGCTTCACTTTTTCAGTTATTAATTATTTTATCCTTCTTTATGGACCAAACCCACTCTTCCTAATTTTTATTATTTTATTCCTCTTTATGTACTAAGGCCTCCCTTCACAGGTACTTATTTTTTTCATTCTTTTCATGGACCTTGTAGGGACTACTCATAAATCACTGTATCCTCGTATCCTTTGTATTCCTGCTTCCTTTACATCCCAGCACTTCTTATATTCCTGCATTCCTTACATCCCGGCATCCCTTATATTGCTGTATTCTTGCATCCCTTGCACCGCTGTAAGCTTTTTTTGAGTAAGAAATCGTTACAAATTTAGTTCCTCTTTTCGCCGCCAGAGGGCGCTGATTCGAGGTTCGAATTTTAGTTCACATTTTTCCCGGTAGAGGGCCAAAACCCCGACGTGATTTAGTTCCTTTTTTCGCCACCAGATGGCGCTGATTCGAGGTCGGGATTTTAGTTCACATTTTTCCCGCTAGAGGGCCAAAATTTCGACCTGATTTAGTTCCCTTTTTCGCCACCAGATGGCGCTGATTCGAGGTCGGGATTTTAATTCACATTTTTCCCGCTAGAGGGCCAAAATTTCGACCTGATTTAGTTCCTTTTTTCGCCACCAGGTGGCGCTGACTCGAGGTCGGAATTTTAGTTCACATTTTTCCCGCTAGAGGGCCAAAATTTCGGCCTGATTTAGTTCCTTTTTTCGCCACCAGGTAGCGCTAAATTTATTCGTACTTTAGTTCCTTTTTTCGCCACTAGAGGGCGCTGTTTTTTCGAAAAAATTTAAAGATGGAGAGATATAAAGGATAGAGGGATGTTAGGCATACGGGGATGTGAGGGACGCAGAGATGGAAGGGTGATACAAGGATATAAAGAAAGCAGGGATGTGAGGAATACAAATATGTTAGGGATGCTGGAATATGAAGAAAGCAGGGATGTAAAGGATGCAGTGATGTAAGGAATGCTGGGATGTAAGTAATGCAGGTTTATAAGGGGTGTAGAGCTGTAAAGGAATCAGGGATGTAAAGGATGCACACGAGAGTAATAAAATCAACACGTTTGTCCTCCTAATGAGTTTATTCAATATGCTAAGAAGATAAATACAGTAAATTAAATGAACACAGAAAATAAAATAAGTGTATATGTATGTTTAGCAGGTAGATCTGTACCCTTCGGCGGTCGCTATAAGACTGATGATGTTTCACTTCGCTCTAAGTCGAACGGTTGACAAAGGTGCCGCAGCCAGCTACCTGCCCTCGTATCGGTGCCTGCAAATTGTTTTTTTGGTTTAACATGGGGAAATCTTGCATAACACAAAATATGTCTGAAATATGTTGCAAATCTATTATTGTGAGTCTACTTACAAATCAACCCTCAGACGGCGAACCATGGAGAAAGCCTTTCTTTATGAATCCTTCGTGTATGTGTGCAGCTGGAAGCCTAGCTTCGATCCCATCGACAATACGTTAAATCGTGAAATAGATTGTCGTATTATCGTGTAGTTGGCCCGACGACGTTCAGAATTGTTCGTATTTGTCAGGAACCGACGACATAGCGGGGCGACTCGGCTCGAATCGAAGCCGGCTTTCCTTTAAAGGACACGAACGGAGCTGCGATCCGTGCTGAATTTTAAATCGATTCCCTAACGTGGCAAATAATGACGAAAAATCGTCACGGTAATAGGGTAGAAGGGCGACGATGGAACGCGATAACTCTTCGTCGAAGGAACGAACGCGTATACACTCGGTAATTTCATCTTGGTCCGACGGTTGCTTTTACAACGCTCCTTTCTTACAACGAACAACTCGTTGCTTCGTACACGCTTGCCACGAGTTATGCTCGTAAAAAAAAAGGAGAAGAACGCCCGTAGGAAACGGATACAGAAGTCATTTCCCCAGGGAATCCTGTTTATGATCACTTTCAAGCTATACACGCCGTATAAAACGAAGCGCCTTGCCCTTCTCTGCGGATCCGCAAAACAGATATAACATGTCAGAGAAAACGTGGATGTATACCTGACACGTTAATGTCCTTTGTAAAGCCGCCTGTACGATAGTAATGGCAGCCGTAAAAGAATTAACGTTGCGAACGTATTGTTCGTAAAAATTTTTCCGCGAAACTCGTTCGACGCGTTCAATTTTCCTTTTGAATCTTTGTCTCTGTACCGAGAATTGTTCCATGGTTTCGTCGTCTTTTATTTTTAGCGATGGAAATTACCTTTTAATAGTATAATCAATTTAGGAAATGAAACACATTATGATGGAGAACAAAAATTATACTATGATGAATTATTTTTAGAAATATTATTTTCATCAGAAATAAAAAATTCTAAAATTTTAATAAAGATTGAATTAAACTTCTTAAAAATCTTATAATCTAAAAGAATAATCTGTAAAGAATAAAACTTTTACGTAGAATCATTTGGATTAATATTATCAATAAATCAAACATTTAAAATAAAATTCCATTTCTATAAATCAAGAACCTCGTTTGATCGTTCAGCTTGTTAGAAAAATGAAAAATTCAAACATCACGAAACTATCTTAGAAACAGCACGATACACGTCGTTCGTCTCTCGAATGTGGCCTACTTATCGTCACACCTTTATGTAGAACGATCTTTTGTTCCGGTGTAAAAGCGTTTCCTTTCATCAGCCGTAAACACGAGGCAATATGAAGATTAGTCTCGGTCGGGCACATTCGAACGCGCTGTTGAACGTCGTCCAGCCGATTCGTTCGCATCTGTACACTGTAGCGGGGGCGGACTCGTGCTTATTCAAATGGTTACAGGCCTTTCGAACGATATAATTTCTTCAATATTTTAACTCACATTGGAGCAGGGCGCCAGCCGCTAAAAGACCACCCACCGTTGGTTGGCAGACTTCCACGTCGTCACCGCAAAACTCCTTCATCCCAGCAGCGGCGCGGCAGCAGTGATTTCGAGGAAACCGCGCCATTTCGCATGCATAATACATTCTAATAGTTTCCCCCGCTCCCCCTGATTCTTGCCACTGGCTATACGAGTCAGCCGCCACAACCGAAAAGAAGCAACGTAAACCGCGATCATTTTCGTCTACTCTTGTTCCATACGAAGGGAACGTTTGTCCGCAAGCACGCGCTCCATTCCGTTCGCCGCTCGTGCCAACCGTTGTCACCGGAAATGGCCTTGGGTCTGCGACTTCGACCCGTTCATACGAATTACCGGTCTACCCATTGGCAAATCTATTTCCCTGCTTCGCGCTCTAGACTCCACTCCCCGGTGATTTGAATCGTTTTCGAGTTTAATGGCCCGACGAAAGATTTTTATCATAACGGGGGACAGATAAAATGTCACGGTTGAAAGTTCGCGTCGATCGTTACCGATTCGTGCTGGTTCTACTGGTGTGCAGTTATATCGTACCCGGATAACGATAAACCGTGGAGGAATAGACCGC